GGGCACAAAGGAATACTTTTCTTTCTTATTCTCATTTAAAATGTCTAGCTTTTAATAAATAATTATCTGAATCTTACAAATAAAGTTTTTATCTGATGTAAAATGTATAGAAGTCACATCACCTTACCATTGATTTCATATGTGCAAAATACGCAGAGCTGATGTAGATGCTGCATAAGCAAGACCAACAGCACGTGTATGTTTTAACTAAACTAACACGTGTGGTGCTGGGACACCATGGAGGGACTAGCTTTAACAGCGGATCTGTTTAGAAATGTAGCCTTATCCATTGAAGTGTTAATTCCAGAATGTAAATATTGTGTGGCTGTTGGGAATTTCTGTGGTTGAGGAACATTAATGAATACACAAATAATTTCTTAAGCGCTCACCAATGGGAGGGGGGAAGTTGCAAAGTGCAGAGAAATGAAGATTTGTAAACCATCTGAACATGTGGATGGTTACTGTGATGCTGCAGCAGATCTATAGATGGTTAAGAAATTATTTTAGAAACAATATTTGCATGGCTGCTATAAAGCTGATGTTTATGATACCTGTTTTAAAGAGCACACAAGTAGGTAGGATGGTAGGAATGACAAGAACCTGGAGATATTGGTTTGTGTCCTTTCACTCAACATTCAATTTTGTTTTTATTTTCCCTTTTCTCTGGTTTAGACACTAGAACTACATGTTTAGGCTAAAAATGAAAATGATATATATATATTGCAGTTGTGACATGAGGAATAAGACTCGCCTCACTACACAGGGCCACTGCTAAAGGACATCTTTTGTATACATTGGAGACACCAGCGTCTTTGGCTAAACATCAGTATTTGACTTCCTGGAAATGAGAACAGGTTCACTGGTCAGTGATCAAACCTTTATCAATGTGATTGTTTTCTGCAGTAAATTGCTATGGTAACATACAAATCCACACGTTCATTATCAAAGTGAATACAACAATCTTACTAACAACTTTCTTCTTATATGATTTTCATGTGTATCTGCTGCTGTGTGTTAGTTGCAGAGCTATTGCTGAGGTAAAAGACGATCAGCTGACTCCTAGCTGTTTGGGCTCCTGGTAGGCTGCTTCTTCTAAGATGGGCTGTGACTTCTTGGGCTTCTTTAAGAGAGCCAGCTGAGCTCTGATGTCTTTAGCCTGAGTCCTGGCCAAATGCAGCTCCTTCCGCAGCTCGTTGATTTCAGCAATCAGAGTCATGTTTTCCTGCAAAGTCCAAAGTCGTGGCTAGATAACTATCAATTCAGCAGGTCTTTACTCCACATTACACTTTCACACTCTGTCATACAGGATATGTTAAGACTTCAGAGTTGCATTGTTAATGACTAATGCCAATGTACTGTTGTGATCTGGGTAATGACTAACCTTCATGATTTTGGTGTAGACCTTTTCGTGCTCCTCTGCAGATTTGACCAGCCTCATTTTGAGGCCATTTACTGTCCTCTCCTGTCGATCACACTGGTGACGCAGC